CGCGACGGCATAATATTGTACATAAAGCGTCAGGGTCAACTAGAGGGAATCCCACGAGATTAGGCAAATAAGTCTGTTAGGTATGGATGAGGAGGAAACATCCACGATGTATTGTGACATGAAATATCGGGTAGCGAGAACCAGGAGCCACGAAGGTCCGGATCATGATTGATTGGTAGCGGGAGAATCTGGCCAAGAAGCCAGCGCCAGGGGACGCAAACGGTACGTAAGTTGAAAGATCTGGGCGCAAGGGACGTCGGCGCAAAAGTCTCCAGAGTGTACTAGTAGAGATCAAGACCACCAGTTTGGACGGGAGATAATCCAGATCTTTGAGCGCTGGGTTGTCACGTCAAGAGTTAAGAGGAGTCGTTTAAAATATCAGGATTAATGCTGCCAGTGACGGGTAGGGTTGGGACGTCAAAGGCCAGGGGGTGGGCAAAGTCAGATGGGACGGAGCAGAATCAGACGATAGCAGGAAGTAGCAAAGGGTCACAGGGATAGTCAGGACGCAAGGAGAAGAAAGAGGAGAATCTTCTGACGCAAGGAGAGGGAAGGGTGGAATCTCCGGACGGGAGGAGAAGAGAGCGTGGAATCTCCGGACGCAGGGGACGTCGGCATCCACGTCCGGTGGGGTCAGGACGGGTTGCGCAAGAGGAAGGCACATCTGGACGCGACGTCCCGCCGACGTCGCGTCCAGATTAATGGTTTGCGCTTGGGCGTCCCGTGCGTCAGATGCACGGGACGCACGGGACGCAAAGTGAAATTTTTGCTGATGCATACATCTGTGCCTGGGTCCAATCTTTCCTTTCTAATAGACACTGTCGTCTTCTCTTTCAAGGGTCTCCTAATGTGTTCTCTCCAGTGCAGGTGGGCGCGCCACATGGGTCTCCTATTTCTCCTCTTTTGTTTGTCATCTATGTGTCTCCTCTTCACTTGGATATTCCCAAGGGAATTATGTTTTCCTATGTTGATGATTTTACTGTTACGGTGGCTTCTTCCTCTTACAGGCACAACGTGCAGCGCTTACAACACTACTTTTTAGTATTGAAGAGAAGGGCGGGTGCTATAGGCATGTCCTTCTCAGTGCCCAAGACTGAACTTTCCCACTGGAGGACCTCTAGGGACCAAGGAGGGCGTTGCTTCACCCCTGTCACCCTGGACTGCACTCTCTTCCAACCTGCTGGGCTGGTTCGCTGGCTCGGCTACTGGTTTACCCCTAGCCTGGAGACCTCTCCCCACTTCGCAAAACGATTGGCGCTCGCCCAGGGGGCTTTTGCTATCGTAAGGCAACTCTCTCCTCCTGGTAAAGGCCTGCCTCCTTATCTCAATCGGAGGCTCGCCGTGGGACTCATCCTTCCCATCCTCTCCTACGGGGCCGATCTGCTGGTACCCAACTCCTCTGCACTCTATCAGATGGAGGTTTTCTGGAACCGAGTCCTCCGATGGGTGACCAACTGCTTCCACTCTACCCCTACCTCAATCCTCCCCTGTGAGGCCAGCATCCCTCCTCTGGTAGTCCTCCTTCCCCACAAGCGCCGGATGGCGCGCTTGAGGATGGCCTGCTCTCCACCTGAGATCACCCCGGTCTTGGCCAGGCTCCCCCTGTCCTTTCCCTCCGCATCAGCCACAAGGGCCCCGGATTTCACCCGGGCCCTGTCTATTGGTCTGAAAGGCAATGCATACCCCCTCCTCTGGAAGACCCCCAGGCCCTCCCCCGCCGTACGATCCCACCTCCCTATTGATGGCATAGCTCATTCCCTTGCCCGTGTCACTGCCAAGGGGACCCTTCCTGGCCTGAATAGGCACCTGGTCCCCAGGACGAACAACAATCTCTCCTCCTCACAGAAGTACTCCCTCCTGAAGGCCACCACTCGCTCCCTTCTCTTCTGGGACTGGGCACTACAGGCCCCCCCCCCCCGCTATACTATTCCTACCCCCCACCCGAAGCCCCGCACCCCTTCATGGGGCTGGACCGCTTTCTGGCTGGACGAATACATCAAATGAGAGCTGGAAAGAGCTATCTAGCTGCCCATACCCCCTGGAACGAGCCAGACAAACCCACCACTTGCTCTGCCTGCGGCCTAGAGCCGGAGACCATGCAACATACTGTCCTCTCCTGTCCATCTAAGGCCCCCTCGAGGCTGCTCGATATCCCAGGAGTAGACTCCTTAGGCCATGAGGCTCCCCTGTGGCCGAATAAGGACCTCTTATGGGGTCTCACACGATACATTTCTCATACCTGAACCAACTTTCCCCCTGCGATGGGCAGGGGTCAGGCGTCACCCGGCACCAACCTTGTTTCAGATTGAAGTGGTATTTCTTTTTGATGTCTTCTCTGGCTTTATTTGACTTTTTTTGCTTTATGTTTTCTTCGTGCGGAAGGAGACTTGTCTTTTCTTTTGCGATTAGTCGCCCTGACGGGCGCAGTGGGTTGTATTACTCACAGGCGGGGATTGCTGGCGGAGAGATATTTCGTTACCGTTTGTTGTTTTTGACATTAAGGTTTTGTTTTTGCCATAGCTAGCGCTCCATGTAGGTTCTTGTACCTTAACAAAGAATATATAAGTTAAAACAAAAAAAAAAAAAAAAATACCTTAGCTTTCAGAACTATCAGCGAACTGAGAAGAGATCTTATCAATATATTCGTTATACTTTAATACCTACTTTGCTACAAGCTTTCTTGACCACTCTCCGAGAAACCTAATTGGCCCCAGTTACAATTCGCCTGACTTAGAATTGGCTGCCACCTAACACACATGTAGGCTTGATTGACCTAAAACATTCCCTATTATCTTGGTACTATCTAGAGACTATTTGGGTGACCCTTTCAGCTTACTTATAGTAACTCCATCTGTTTAGGTCTGCTTTACAATATTAAACTTGGAGAAGGTACTTGATCTTCTCACCTTGCCCCTTATATATATCCTATGAACCCCTTTCAGTCTAAGTCACATGGACAGCAGTGACCTATACAGTATTATAATCATGTCTTTATTGACTCCACTTAACTGGAAAGATGACAACTCTACCGATTTTGGTTCATGATGCCTAGGGCAAACCCTGGGGTCAGAGGTACCTGTTAGGAATATTTCTACCAAGTTACTACATATTCAAAGCTCTATAGCTTTTCTCATAATCTTCAATCAATATGCAACCAAGTGCCTATTGATCACCATTCAATAACAATCTTAAAAATTTCTAAAAATGTTTCCAAAAATATTTCTGATAGGAGGTAGGGTAATAGTGTCCCAAAGGTAAGGTAATTACATTCATGGTATTATAATACAAAGACAGTTCCTATGGTAGGGTAACATGACTCTCTCAGGTAGGGTAACTTTACTCAGCCTTCTAACCTATCCTCAGAACTGTGTAGACATAGTCACATTACTATACCTACTTCAGTATACAAATCTCTTAAGTACCTTATACTTGCTGAAATACCTGAACTATTAGATATCTCCTCAGACATGCTCCATCATGCCCATCTAGTCTACCACTTGACCTCATGATCTCATATATGGGTATAGACATAGGTAACTATAGCATAACATTGGGGTCATTATAGTATATTACTAGTACTATTACTGTACTTGAAGTGGTTTCCACTATTGCAGCAACAACTCTAAGATTCCGAGTAGTTCTTGTAGCTAATATTTCTATGGCCATTTGCTCTTGTACTTGGACTGGAATTGGACTACTATGAGTAAGACTGCTAAGAGAAATAGGACTATTTGTAACTGGGCTGCTAGTAATAAGACTGCCAGAAATAGGACTATTGGAGATGAGGCTGCTGGGAGTGCTGAAAATTGGACTAGTGGGAATAGGACTATAGAAGATAGAAGTACTGGGGATAGGATGTCTATGGATAGGACTGTCGGATATAGGACTATCAACGATAAGTGTATCAGGTATGAGACTGCCGGGGGTTGAACTATGGCTATGGATGAGAGAGTATGAGTACTGGGAATCGGATTGCCAGGAATAAAACTGCCAGGAATAATGGTGCTAGGAATTTGACTTCTGGCTAAAGTGGACACTGAGGTAGAATTCTTTAAAACTCGGAACATACTGCTGGGAATCAGAATACCAGGCATAGGACAATTAGGGATAAGACTGCGGTGGATGACACTTCTGGGAACAGGATTGCTAGAGACAAGATCACTGTAGGTATGACTGCCAGTATCACTTGAAGGTATAAGCATAATAGAGGTATTTGGTATGAAAAGAAGGAATCGTGGGTTCTCAACACGATTTGCTTTTTTACATTCTAACCTCTGACTAATATTTTCTCACTACACCCCAAACAATATCAAGCTCTTTCCACACCCGGCTGTAACTTACAACCAACCCTGATATAAGCTTATCTCTTTCGATACCATACCGCGATCTGTCAGTTAATGCACTGTACTCTACATACCGGGACTTGCTCTCGGGTATGATATATGGCCACTATTACCCAGCCCTACCGGTAGTACTTTCCTCCGGTAGTACTTTTCTCGTGGTCCGCACTGCTGCCGCTCCCTCAAGTTTTCTCGCGTCCGATGTCTACCATTTCTGCACTGCACCGGTGTCATACTGGATACTGTAATTACTACGGTATACAGCTTTGCCCCCACTGTACTCATTGGAAAGAAAAAAGAAAAAAAAACAATTTATCCGATCTCCTCACTTATCATTCTAACCTCACCCCAGCTAATTCCCATCCTAACCTCTCTCACCATGCATCCATCCCTTGGTCCACTCTTCAGCCGTCAGACACCTCAATTGGCGCAAGGGATGAAGGAAATACCCAGTCTCAACCTTGTATTTCCCCTCCCCCATCTATCCCTCTATCCCTCATATCCATTAACGTCGGGCTGACGGTTAGAGTTTATTCAACGGGTACGAGCACTGTCGTTATACCGGGACATTTTAAGATCCATAAGATGTGATAATCGCGTGACTCTTGCTCCACCACGCCCTCAGGACCACTGGCACGATAGGCTGACTACCGGATTAAGTGGTCGAGAACCCGGTTACCAAATCCGAGACGCGTTCCTGGGTGCGCCAGGAGTTTGAGAGAAATAGACACGTACAGGACCCAGTGAGTGCCCTGATTCGATACTTCCGCTCTAGCTGCGAGTTTGACGTGGGGCACATCACGGACCAATGCTTACTTCTTCCTGTAGACTCACATACGTTATTTAATTTCGGTAAGATAGAGCTGATCAAAGCACATCTTATCCTATCTTTCATAACCCTAACATAGCATTTTTAGAAGGGTAGGAAGGATCTTGAGATTATGGCTCGGTATACCATTCGGGAGCCATGATGGTCTCGTAAGATACCAACCCGAATGGAAAACCCCCAAATATCACTTTTGAGCGTATTGTTTCTAGCGATGGCATAATTCATAGGAAATGTGTTAATCAAGTATATACATTGAAGGAACTGGCTATTAGGCTTCACTTGAATTGGGACTTCAGCCGTTTCACCGCTTCTTGAATTTAAACCTGAGCTCATCATCGCTGTCCTCACCACTCCCACTCTCATCCCTTAGAACCAGGGCCTTCTGTTTCTTCCCGGCGCCTGCCCTCGATCCTTGAGCGATTGCCCCTCTTTTTGTTCCTTGACTTGTGATGGCTAGGCCCTTCGTTCGCGTCGTTAGACCGTGGGTCTGCGCCGACACTTGGGCTTGAGCTTCTGAATGGTCACCGGGGCCAGGAGCTTGCAAGCAATCATTGCTCTCTCCTTGGCGGTCGTCAGCCTGTTGTAGTTGCTGTGCTGGTGTTTTCTGGGTCTTTTTCGCTGGGGGGCTCTCTTCCTCGTTCTCCAACCAGTATCCTGTTGTTGTTCATTAGCTATAGTCAACAGCCGGCGGGACCAGGGTCTTCTTATAGTACCATCACCGATCCCATAATCCCTTCCCCTATGCTCAACAAGATTGACCATAACATTGCCTCGCATGGCCCTCATGCCCCCGCCCCGCCCAGATCTCACGAATTTCTTAAAATTCTTGCGTCCATTCCATCTGCCTTCCCACCTAGCTCCCTGATCCCCATATCCATCTCTCGAGGGTTTGTCAGTCCTTGGTTTGACTTCCATTACCTCAACGATAGCTAAATTCTTTAACTGATCGACGTCCAGCCCCTCCATTGCTGTTAGCTCCTCCGCCCTGGCCACCCTAGCTGCCTCCTCTTCTTTTTCTCTGATCTCTCGAGCTTTGATAATGAAAGGGTCTTCATCCTTCTGTACCTTTTTCCCTTTGCCTTTTAGGGGCGCTGCCTTGTCGGGCGTCTTGATGACTGGTTCAGCCTTTGGAAGTGGTTCTGGAGGGGCTTCTCTGAGTGATTCCCCGCGGACAGCACGCTCTTCTTCCTCAATCAATTTCCGACGCTTTACCGCCTGGGCCCCAGGGAGAAGGTCCATAACATCCAGCGGTTGTCCTTGCTCGTCTTCGGGCTCGACAGGCCTCTTTCGGGATCCCGGGTCCGGCGGAGCTTCGGGAGTTGCATTATGGGGAGGCTCATCGATTTCCATTGGCATATTATTGAGACCGGTGTTTGGCCGTGGCAATAATGAAGGCCCCGACTGTTGAGCGGGAATAAGTTAGCAAATCCCGTGATACTAGTCACAAAACCTACCTGTACTGAAGCTCCAATGACGCGAGGGGCAGACGTGCTAAAGCTCTGACCCGATGTCAATTGGGTTAAAGTCGATTGCACTTGAGCTGGTGCTGGTGGGGGAAGATCAAAGGGATCCATCGAAAACGGGTCTATCAGCTTGGGTATGACCCGAGTCCTTGTCTAAATGGAGAGTATAAGTTGAAGTGGTTCTAGATGAGCCGGTTGAATACATACTCGTCCGCGACCACGTAAAGCAGGGCGGGATGTCCCAGAAGTTTCACCAGAGGAAAGCGGTACTGGGGTCTCTTCGGTGATCGACTTCTCGAGTTGTACGGGTGACCCATTTTGTACATTTCTTGACGCTTGAGGGGATTCTAATGAAGAGTCAGAGTTAAACCTTCATCCACCCGGAGAGGAGATTCTGACCCGTGGTTACCTGCCGAGCTGTGGGTGAAAAATCATCGTCCAACGGTTTCCGGAGGCCACTCGTGTCACCAGTTAGGATAATATCGAGGAATTCATTTTGCTCAACCATCCGATACCCCAATCTATTGGATCACAATCATTAGCCCGACTGAGATCAATGAGGACGATCTTGCTAGTATTATCGCCGTGCTTTCGGATGACGCACATTTCTTGGACCTTGGTTGAGAGATGGTTCTCCCAGTCAGGGTTTTTCTTTGCGATAAATCTCACGACTGCGACATTTGTCCCATGACCTCGCTTTCTAACAAATTCCACCAACTCTTCTGGTGTAGTCTCCCCCAGCCGCACGTCATATCTTTCCAGTTTTCCATGTGCATCGGTGACAGGCCCCAAAAAGTTGCTGTACTGGAGATTGTCGCAGAAAACAAAGGTATAGCCCTCAAAAATATTTCTTCTAGCTTTGTCCGGCCTATAGAGACTTGGAGGTCGGTTTCCAGGCTCATTGTTACTCGGGGGTAGGAACTCCTCGGGGCTGGGCCAGTTCCCGTCGAAATCCAGCTCCAGGGCCGACTGTCTCCCGTCCCCAGGTATGGTAGCAGCATGAGCAACTGCATCGAGATAGGAGCTTGTCACAATGACTTTGCCATTGATAAGAGCCTGCAGGCCTATAGCCGTATTGCGCTTTGATGCGACAACGTGTGTCGTAGAAGGGACGAAAGTAGCTAAGGTCTTGATGCCAAGGGGCTCAACTTTATTTTGGTATGGAATCATACTCCTTTTATCCTTTCTATCCTTTGAAGAGAGAGACACGGAAAAGACAATCGGGTCCCAATATAGCCTGCAAGAACTCGGCGTTAGTCCGGATGGAGGCAAATGGGGGTGGAGGGTATCCGACCTGAAGGCTGGTTCATATTTTCCCAGGTGGATATGGTATGATTCTTCGTCGAGGGCTACCGTCTGATCACGAATCTCCTGCCCATCAATCCTTGTCCCATGCTTCGTCCTGTGGTCCTGAACCTTAAGGCTCGGGCGAACGTTTAACTTCAGCTACAAAAGTGAAAAAAATTATTAGGCCAAACTTCCGGTACCCGTTGATGTTGCTGCCGTGGAGTCACCTACCCCGTCACCCTCTTTTACGTCTCCCACTTCAATCAGGAGATGTATTCGCGAGATAGACTTTTGCGAAGGAAGCGACAGGTTAACGTCCTGAGAGGGCGTTCGTCCGATAGCGAACCTCTGGTTTGGTCTGAGCCAGAGACGCCTGCCGCCCAGAACTTCACCTTCGCACTCTATAAACCACATGTTGGAGGGGTTGGAGTTTTGTGAGAGGGAACAGACGAAGGTATGGCGAGGAAGCTGAGTATAATACAGGCGAAGACAGGAGCTATGATAGTATGATACCTGAAGAGATGAGGGCCCGGGGTAGACGCGACCGACTCCACCCGCGCTGTTTCATGCGGGAAGTTTATCCACGTGACTTCCAGTGGTTTGCGCCAAGCGCCCACACTACTCGTGCAGGACTTGGAGGCACAACATAATGGCATCATCCATCAATCCTCACACATGTTTTACCTGGAGGAGGAGTGCTTTTTACTATACCGTACGAGTACAGTACCTTTTCATACTGTCCTGAAGGAACCGTGGCGGTTAGGGGTTGAATTTACAGTACGAGTACCGTACGGGTACAGTAGAGGGCACCTCGTTCAATTACGATCACCATGCTGCAAGCTACCTCTGTTCCCGTAATCTCCGTTCCCGTAATCCTCGTGCACCCGGCCCTTCTTGGAGATCCTTATCGTGTGGCCAATGGTCTGCAATGGTCTGAGATCCGAGAATGAGCCCTGGCTCCTGGCTGCTGGCCCCTGGGGGAGTGCTGAGTTATGATAGCAGCACCGATACTGTAGACGGTTTCGGTCATGTCTCTCGTTATCACGGCACTATGTAGGTAAGATGGGGCGGTATGGTGACCCGGAATGGTTCCGTGGGTTCGCTTGGCTGCCTCGGCCGGCGGGATGTGATATGATACGGTACAAGTAGACTATCCGGTAGACTAGAGGGGATACGAAGGGGGGGCGGGGGCTGTTAGCCCAACGGTGACGCAGGGCCGCATGTGAGTCTGGGCTTCCCCTCAACCTCCAGCTGCACGTTGAAAATAAACAAACACATGATTCCCCTACACTACGCACCGGTAGACGTGCAAACTCAGCCACTTATATTCCACCCAAAAGCCTCTCTTCGTGTTCACATTCTCGAACTTGTTCTCCTCAGTCTACCAGTACCTGCTGACCAACCAGCCAGCCACTTCCTTTCAACCCCCATCCCATACTCTCTCTCTCTCTCTCTCTCTTCGAACAAACGCCACACCGAATCCCATCGCAGCGTGATCATGGCCGATACAGCTGCCACCGATACTCTTGCTGCTTCCCCCATCAAGGAGCGTCAGAATTCCCTGGAGAATGGTGCTGCCCGATAAGACTCAGCCCTTTGGGATAACCGGACCTTGCTAACTCGATTGAAGCTTTGGCACATCGTCCCGACCAAAAGGAGCTCGAGGAAAGAAACATCCTACACCCCAGAGCTGAGATTTCGGAACGCCAACAGGGTAGCTTCATGCCGGTCCGGGTTACGGGATAAGCTAACATTGGCATAGAACTCGCGAAAGCTATGGCCCACAGGCCGGGCAAAGATGACCTTGTACAGCGTACGTCTAATGCTGTGGGCTGCACGGCTTCTTTCACTGACAAAGCTCCCCTGAGGATCGTCAAGGGAATATTTTACCTCACAACGCCAATGTAGCGCCGGCGCTCATCGCACACCAACGGGAGTTGGAGAAGAACATGCTCGAGCGCGATCTCAAGGTGCTTCTACCTCTGTATCATCGTCGCTCTTTATCGCTACAGTTTGCTAACAACCTGCAGGAGAAGCTTTCACACCGTCCGGAGCCTCAGGAGGTTATCCAGAAAGGGATCTTGAGACGTGAGTGGCTTTTTTCAACCCAGCCTTTCGGAAACCTACTGACTAGGTCCTTCCCTTAACCACACAGCCGACGAAGACCCAACCAATCCTTGCGAGTAGGAGCCGATTCTACTCATTGCCTCTCGTGAGCACTGTACTGAATACTGGCCTTACCTGGTGGCTTGAAATATCCTTTTACTGAGTGTTTCAAACGTTTTTCC